TTTTCCCTTTAAAATTGCTCATTTCCTTTCATTTTCCTTTTAAAGATCATAATTTCCTTTCATTTTCCTTTTAACCATGATCATTTCCTTTTGTTTTCCTTTCAACATAATGATCATTTCTATTCGTTTTCCTTTAGCTTCTTTTGGTGTGCCATCTTAGTGCACCTATTGGGAAATAATAATGTCCTTTTGTTTTCCTTTTAAAAAAATGATCCTTCCCTTTCATGTTTCTTTTAAAAATAGTAATTTGCTTTCGTTTTCCTTTTAACAAATTAAATTTCGTTTCATTTTCCATGTAAAAATGCTCATTTCCTCTAATTTTCCTTTGAATAATGATCTTGTGGTCCATGTGTTTGCCACACTGTATGCTTGCAGCTTTAGCTTAAAGATGCCACTGTTCACTCACTCTTGAGGCTGTTGTTGAGGTTGTGACCATGACTCTTGCCTATCCTTCCTTATGTTTTGCCTTTCTTAGAGTCCTGTGGTGTTGTCCTGGAGTGACCCATGTGCCATCTTACACGTTGCAGGGTTAGTCCTCTAGGCTCTTGAGTTGATGAGGTCGTAAAATGACCTGTGCCATCATACTCTTTCCAGCCGGATGTGCCATCCATTCGGGACCCGGTATATATATATATATGTCATGATTTAGATATATGTTTAGTTGTTCTATATTACATTTACATGATTGTTTTGGCCCTGGGCTCTTTGAGAGTTATATAAGAGCAAGTTAAGGAAGAATGATAGCTGCAGGATCCGTTCCTCAGCTGCGCGGATGTATGCTACAATACTGTATATATACTTATTGGACGCTTTAATGTGCAATTGTCAGCCCACATCAAAGATGCGTATTTAATCGTTTTTAATTAAGAGTGACCCGGCACACAACCGGATCGAATTCCACGTGCGCACGTGTATGCGCACTGTGCACGGGTATCTTAAGCATGCTGCCCTCGCACCATGCCTGACATGTACAAGACACGCAGCCGGCTCGAGTTTCGCTAAACCAGAGCAGCACTGGAAAGATTGGGGTGAGCTGTTGGGGGCCTAGCATGGCCTAGCTCACTTCACTAAGAACATAGTGTTTAACCAAAAACATATGCTATGGCCTCCAACCTACTAGAGATGGCCTCCAACCTAATTAACAGCGATGGCCTCCACATAAATTACTCCAGAAAGAAGTAGAACAAAAGGGCAACCTCCATGGTAGGCTATATACCCAGTCTCCTAGCGGTGACATGCGGATTAGCGGTGACTTGGTGAGTCACAAGTGGTTTTCTGGTGACCCGTTGAAGGTGACTGCTCACTCGATGTACACGACAGGTGAGCTACAACCATACAGATCAGCACGGGTTTGGAAGGGATTTTGCCACCAGGTGTTGGCCTGCTGGCTCTAGAATTTTGAGAAGAACTTGATCTGCCAATTTCAACATCATTCTATGCTTCTGAAAACAGGCTCAGCCCGGTACCGTTTCTGGCGGCGGTTCACGTGTTCGATGTGTTCGGGTCTGTGTTCGATGTGTTCAGGTCACGTGACCATGTGTTGACCATGTCGAGTCAGGCCATGTGAGACTCACATGTTCTTCCGGAACACGAAGAAGCGCCATATGACTAGCCCATTTCATGTTCTAGTCATGTTCTAGTCATGTTTTCCTGCGCTTCCAATAGGTGCCCTGTCAGTAGGGTGACCTTCCTTTGTCCAGGTAACATGACCCCGAGAAAGGCAAGCAGCCGGAACGTGACCGTGACGAAGCGTGTGAGCTTTGATTGAAATCAATAAATCTGACTTTAAAGCAAGTCAATCACCAAACTAGTTCGCTGGAGCTTGTGAACGTCACGGAGCTTGTAGAACACGTATATACTCGGAATGTCTGACTTTCGAGTGCGGTTCTGATCAGAGTGGAACTGTCCTCACAAATGATGGACACCTGTGGCATCGAGCTTGGGTTTCACGTGGGTGCAGTGATCAGGAATCAACCAAAAGCAGGAACCAGCTTGGGCTGTTGCGGAACAGCTGGGTCTGCTGAAACAACTGGCAGAGACAAAACATGCACTACTACAAACCATACAAACCCGGCCTAGATGTGTAGAAGACCCCATGAACTTCAAAACCCACGCTTTGAAACAGAACAATCACAGCTGATTTGTTGCAGTTTCGTCAGAGTCTTAATCATTGAGTTCTCGCCAAAACAGTGCAATGGGGTGAGGCTATGTAGGAGTTTTGCTCCAAGTTTGTGTGAGGCGCTCCCTCAATTGCAATGCTTGTTCTTCTGAGAACTGTGTTTCATACCCAGCAGATCAGCGGCAGGAGTGGACATGTAGCCGGCTGAATCCTGATATCCTGGTTTTACATGATTTTGCATTTGCATGTTCATGTCGATGCATTTTTTGAAATTCGTTCCCTGAAGTCAGCTATTGGCCATCATGGCATTGTATATATCGACTGGTGGTTTGACTTCGAAACAAAGGCAAACTGTATGGCACAGATTGGCCAACAAGAGTGCCAACAGGTTGGTGATTTCAACAGGTTCAATATGATTCAATCATGTTAAACCATTCACCTGGGTGATCCATTCATATTAACTCAATTCAATTCATTGTATATGCATGTATACATTACATTGTAATTGTTTGATGTGATTATCATATTGAAACCACCAACGAGCCAACCATGCCAAGACAAACTTGCGTGGCTTTTAACTCTTGCAAGACGTGTGGGAACTTGAGTGACCTCGAAGGCTGGATGATGCTAAATCATCGGCCGGAAAGCGAGCCAGTGGAGGTACGTTGAAAATTCCGTGCCAAGAGTGCTCAAGACAATACAAAGGACTGTTGCAAAGAATGACAGTACCTAAGACTAAACGGGACTGTTCTGTTTGTCTTACAGGCATTGAGGCGATCGCAAGACGTTTGTAGGCAGATGAGCACTGAGTCTGGAGTTGCTGTACCTGGCCGCCTTAAGTTTTAGAAACGTTGAGCCTGCCTGGCGCCCAACGAAGAGGCAAGCATTCTTCACGAGCTGGATGAGTAAAATCAAACTAGCTTGATTCCTGCAAACACCCTAGAACCTTGGCAACTGAGCAACTAGGTCTGACTACAAATGCCCGGCTCACCAAACCAAAACAGCCGCATTTTGTCACTGCACAGTTCCAAGTCCCGCATTCTGGAGCCCACGTGAGGGAACCCACGGCATCCAGAAAAACCGCCGCTCATGGTCTGGACCAAAAAGGGAAGGAGCGGTCTGCAGATATTTGGATCGATGGCAGTTGGATGGGGTGCTTTGGATGTCTTTTTGAGGCCGGTGGTGAAAGAAGCAAATGTCCAGGTAGATCCAACGGTCGAGGAAAGAAGAAAGGTCCCATTCCGGGAACGGATGCATGGACTAGACATGACTAGACGAGTATATAGATTCTTTATGATTCATTGCTCATCCCTAGATCACTTCAAACCTAACACCCTGGAGCCAAGCATCCGGCTTCCTTCGTGAAATTCCTCACAGCCAGAAAAACTACATGGCTTCATGACCTCACCAATGGCTTCATCCTGTTTGGATCCCCGGTTCACCCCTTCTCCGCGCAGCCAGGCGCTGCAAGGCAGCGTGCGTCGCATGCAGCGGGCCATGCCCCGCGCCCCTGGCGACCCCGAGAGGCCACACGGACGACGCACCGGTGGTTGGAACGGGAAGCGACCATGGAGAACGGAATTCTGGGTTTGGAAAAGGCCAGAAAAGATGGAACAGGGTACACTCACTGAAATGGAGTGGAACTCCATGATTCGTTCAGGGAGCGTAGAGTTGTTGTTGCCTCACAAGTTGACATAGTCGGCGTGAGCCTTGAAGATGAGGAAGACGCCAAAAACTCCTAAACATGCGAACATGCATCTTAGTCAATTCTTTAGATCACTCGGCTCGAGCGTTTTGGAGGTGAGAACCTGCGTGTTTAAAACTTGGGTTCTGAAGAGTACCGAGCGAATCCTTTTTGGACCTGGTGCGATCTGAGCCCGATTCTCTTCATGGCAGGGCGTAAGCTAGATCCCTGAGCAGTGAAGTTCGGGAACTGTCTTTGCGCTCAACCTTTTTTGGAAAGAGACCATGGGGATGCGAGCGCCCTCTTAACAAGTGCGTGACTCCGGTCTGTAGCCTCTTCCTTTTTTCTTTTGTGGCAATAGGGATTCGGAGTCGGTGCGGTCACTAATCACATCCGAAGCTCTGCGTAGCGTCCAATGGCTACCTTAGGCTTTTGCTGCTTCCATGCAATGCATTTCTGAAGCGCAAAGGCTCTCTCTGAGCGGCGAGCAAGAGCTGTAATGATAAAGAAGGCAACAAAACGCGACCTGGCACCCGCTCGAACAGAAAGAGACTCGTTGTGCTTTAGCAGCCTGTTGCATGGAGAAGCTGCAGCTGCGACCTTCTTGAAATTGGTTATAAGTGGCTTCCACTTGACTTTGTTCCAGAGCTGCCACTCCTGTTCAGAATCCACAGATTCAAGCTCTTGGGCTCACACTGCCAATCCATTGGAGATTGGACAGAAAAGGATCCTAAATGGACCCTACCCAATTTAACCCAACCCCTGTCAACATGAACCCCGAGCTGAGAACCCCTGCGCGTTCAGAACGCGGCGTTTCGTGTTCGGTGGGCGATGTTTTCCAAGGTCAACCCCAAGACAATGGACGTAACTGCAGATGTCCAATAGTTCTCAAACAACAGTTTCTTCATGTTTCTGCCTATTCCGTCAGGCGGAATGGAGCACCAGGTCAAGAAGCCGGTGAGCGAGTCATCCTGGGATAGCATCATATGTTTTAAACTCATACTGCGAAGGTATCCTGCTCCGGGGTCAAGCCTGCCATCCTAGGCCGTGTGCCCATGCAGTCTGGGTTTTGGACAGAGTTGGCTGTATGGATGTCATGAAGAGTAGTTCTTTCAGGATTTGGATTGGTGCGCCCCTTGTGATTTGCTTGTACGAGTGTTCTTAGATCACTGAGTTGAATGAGCAAATTTGTTGCATCTGCGGCGCTTGTTCTGGCAGGCGACTTTGAGCGAGTTGCTTCAAGTCGTTCGGAGCAACCAAACAAGAAAGTTCAGAATCCCACAGGGATAACCAAAGGCCGTGCCTGCTCAGTCTGTCGCGCGCCTCGCTTCCCAGAGCCAAACCACGCGCCGTGGCACGTTCGCAAGGGCAAGGGAGGTGTGCTTCTAGCAAAGTCAGGCGGTTGCGCCCCTTGTTTGTGGGCATCTCGCCAGAAGCTCCCGCGGGAGCAGTGGCCACACTGGGCTGAATTCAAGGCAAAGAGATGGCCCAAGCAGGTGGCGGCCAGCATGGACACATAGTTTCGGAAACATGCCATGGGCTTGAGAAGCTTGGCAGTGCACTACCCAAGCAAAAGCACTTTCCATCGCATCTCTGGTGTTCGTGGAGAAGATAGGGACGTTGCCGAGCAGCTCCTGATATTTATCACTTTGTTGCCAGACAAGGACAGTAAGACTCCAACAGAGCTTTGGGCTGGCTACACGAAGAAAGTTCCTGCTGTAGTTGACACTGCAGCCGAGCTCTCCTGCATAGAGCCGGCTGCAAAAGCGAACTTGGTGCGATGGTCTGGAGATCTCCTTGCAGAGATGCGCAAGCGCAAGAACTTTGAAGAGGCTCAGGGACAACCGCAGCAGAGCGCGCGTCTTCAGCTAGCGCGATGGGCCAGTCCAAGTGGAGCTTGATTTGGAGGACCCAGCAGATGCAGAGAAGTTTTTGCTCAGCAAGTTCAAGCCGGAGAAGCGTGAACAGCTGCAGCCAGTGGCTCATTTCTATCTCCAAGAGCTTAAGAAGGGAAAGAAAGAACCTTTAGTGACTTTAGTGAACCTGCTGCGGAAGGAAGTGATTGGTCCAAAGATGCTTGACTCCGCCAAAGGGCGACAGGCATGGGTTGATTGCTGGAGTGCCAATCGTGCACTGCGTTTTGTCACGGTCAACATGTAGGGGAAAGCTGCGGACCGAAAGAGTCAACACGCCTGTGCCATTGTGATGTGGAACTACCAAGCACACAAAAGTCATAAAAGTATCTAATTTTGTAGCCGTGCGGGCACATTTCTGCTTCGAAACATGATGCATCCGCAGAGTCTCTGCGAAACATGTGCCCATGCGGTTCTCTCATTTGTCTATGTGACTTTTCGCGAAGGTGGTGACTTTAGTCTAATGAGCTGTGCCCATGGGATACTTGACTTCGCACCAACATATTTGACTTTAACACTTCCGCCTAGTATGGTCTTGTCCTATCAAAGCAGAGGTCAAATGGGTTCCAGATAAGTATATATATATATATGTATACCATTTGTACCACATGTGCTTCTTTATGGGTTACAGCGTCTACGGTATAGTAGTCGGCCGACCGATATGGAGAAATCGATTCGCTGGACCGTCGCCCCTCACATCGCCGGACCCGCCTGGAACCCACAGGCCGCCGGCGCCGGCGCCTGAGTCGCCGCAGAGTTCGCCGGGCGGATCGCCACGCTATCACCGGGTGAAGCTGGAAATTGAGGCGTGGAAGAGACATGAAGAGACGACAGAATGACATAACAGGGTGGAAGAGGTGGCAGCATGATGGCTAAAGTTCTCCACAACAGCTTGGAAAACACGTTTGAAAATCCATGTGGATCCTGTAAAGAAGTGTCCTTTCTATTCCTTTCAATTTGGTTCCTTTTATATAGTTGATCCAGAAGGCGAATGTTCGAGCCACCGAGAGCCTCCGAAAGCCTAATTATAAACACTTTGCATGGCCGGCATGGCCGCGGCCAGGTGGTGAGAGCCACAGACCTTCCCTCGGCCGCCTTGCTGTCCACGTCGCTCGGAGCGGAACCCGTCGGGACGGCACATGTCTACGCCCCAGGATTCCAAACTATCATAATCCGTGTTCTTTTCCGAACAACAGTGGTTTTACTAAGGTTTTTGGACTAATTGCAAAACCAGGTCAACCATGTTTAATAGATGTTATTGGTGTTGGAAGGTCATGGGATAGGTGATGTTTAGATATGTTGAGCTGTGTGTGGATTTGGAATTGGGTGTTTAATGATGCTATGACTGCCCAATATCGATCGACTCAAAAACTGCCAAATAATCTGAATGACTGGGAAATGTGTTTCTTGGAAGTCTTGCTGTGTACCGCACCACTCTTGGACAAGGCGTGACACCTACAAGATCTGCAAATTTACTACTGTGTTCTTATATGTATAATTGTTAATATGACTGTTAACTTACAGATCACATACTGCAGTTAATCAACAAAAACAAATCTTGACTACTGTCCAGGTCCCTGGACAGCATATCCCAGAAGTACATTATACTTGATGTTACTTGTATTTGTCAACAAGGAAAACGTCCCAAATTGCTAGATCTCTGGAATAAAAGGCCCATCGGCCGGGGTGTTCTTCCTTCCCGTTGCCGCCCTTGCTGAGGTCTGACCCCTATGTCGTTGTGAGCATCGTGGATGGCCATCCTTTGCAAGATCCTGAAGCATTGAAAGGCCCGGTTCCGGACTTCTTTCCGCAGATCCGACCTGACCCGACATGAGCCGAACCGATGAGCCGAAACGGAGACGGTGGGCACAGATGATGGGTGACAGATCAGAAATGTATTAAGATATCTTAAGATTATCTCAAGATCATGCAGGACCTAGATATGTTTGGCAGTTTTACAAGCACTCTTGAAACAGGGATTTGGATGGATCAAGGTGTTCCAAAGAAACCTTGCCAAATGGCCACGGTGTAGTCTCCTCCCGCACTCTGAAAGAGAAGATCTGCCAGGTTACGAGGACTGGCGCTCAGTGCATGAGCAATTTAGTGGACAGACGCGTGTCGCAGAGGCCTCTGGAGCTGCACTGCAGGGTTGGACTGGGTTCCCTTTTTGTGGAACCATTATATATATAATATATATAGTTGATTGCGAGTAGATGGCACAGACCCCAAGAGGTGGTTTATATGAACCCCCATCTAAAGGACATCATGGCGTCTGTGCCATCTACTCTGAACCCACTGAGCAAAAACATATCTTGACAATGCCAGCTCCGCATGGGAATGGCATTAGTTGGATGTGTCCAACCTCCCCCACCAATCCATGGTAGGTCGACATCAGTTGACATCCCTTTTTTTCGAGCAATCGGTTTATTTGACCCGGGGTCAGGGGTCCACCTGTTTTGACCCAAATCGCATTTTGGCATGCTTAGCTTGATCCCAACATCCCTGGGACAGCAGCCCCAGCGAACTCGCAGTTCCAGTGCACGAGAGCAGGGGACGAACCCGGAGTTCCGTGCACGGTTCCTGGCAGAGGTCCGGAATCGAGACGCTTGGGAAAGCGTTTCAAGAAGCTTTTTTTGGTTTGAAATGCTCCCCCAGTTTGGCATTCCCCAAACAAATCCTATGTGGTCCTGACAGTTGATGAGGAGAAAATCTTAGTTGGTTGAATTTGTATAGTTATGTGCCAGTACCAGGACCATCCAATGGTCCAATGGACTACCCTACACTACTTATATGGCTAGGTACCTCCATTGAACACCCATTGGATTGTCCAGGCATGCATGAAGGACATGAGTAAATGTTACTAGCTTGATCTAATTTGACTCGTCAAACTTTCCATGCAAGGGCCGTTTGGCTGTGTCTTTCTGGGAACATCAACTTGTGCCGTATACTTACTCGCATGTTTTTGCATGTTTTGGCTAAAGGAGTGACTCCCCGAAACTCTTGGCCGATTCAGAAATTTTAGCTGAGTTCATTGCTCAATTGCTGGGGTCGGTCTTTTTCTTGTTTGCTTCGTGTGAAAGCCGCAGGGTCTTCCGCTGGACTCACATCCTAAGGAACAGACTCACATCCATTTCCGCCTGCTCGATCAGGACCCGATGTTCAGCAGTGCCAGCGGGTGCTGAGGGCGGCCCTTCGCACCGGACCCACACGTGCACAACACCCATCGGCCATCCCCAGCCACACTCCGGCGTATAAAGTGATCCCTTTTCAACCACGGACCCCCAATTTATGTCGGTGTCTTAAAATAAATAAGTCAGTAGACCTCCCAGGCAACGACCTCCCTTTCAGGTTCAGGAAATAGACCAGTCTACCCAGCTCTTGTCAGGCCTATCCGCTTCGGCAGGATCGTTGTCCCAGCCCCGCCGATTCGGAGGATGAAGATCCATGGGACATAGGGTTTAGGGATTAGGGGATTAGGTTGGATTGGCCATATTGGGCCCAATTCACTTCTACCACAGGCCCTTCACTTGTGATCCAAACGCTGGACCCCCCAAAAAACGCATGCCACGGTAGGTTGACCACGGTCCATTGGACGTTGATTTGGTGCAGTGAACCCTCTGTCAACCGGCTTAGTTCGACCCGCATCCACTTAGATGCCCAGCGCGTGGCACTTGAACTTTGCAATTGAACTTTTCACATGGCAACCATGTGCGACTCATCTGTCACATATCATAATTTGCTGCGACCAGTGACAGTAGGATGCAGGATTCAGAGGATGCAGACAGCAAAGACATGGGATTTCGTTGACCACTCTCTTGCCACCGGTAGATCCTACTGTTGCTTGGATCAAATAGAATCTACTCATCTGTCGTTTTCGCACCATGGCTTGGTCCCTGCGCCTTGGTCCCTCCCCCACCACGGGGGTTGCTTGCGACAGGACAGCATTTCCCATGCAGACCGGGAGATTGGCCAGGCGAGGAACAGAACGATGGGCAGGGACGGTACACGGGACATGACCTCCGGGGGTGACGGTTCGGTTCGGGGTTCGAGTTGGACGTTCCGAGCCGAAGGGTTCGGATGTTTTGGGCTTGGCCAAACATCTCCAAATCCCAGGTCCCTCCATGGGTAGGGAAGACCAAAGGTCGAACGATGGATCCCTAGTCCCTTCAACGTAACCCAATGTATCAGTCCCGTGGAGTGGTGTGTTCTGTCCCGTGGAGTGGTTGGGTATGTTATACACTGTTCACCGTTATACACATATTTATGTGTTGTGCACTGTTGTTCAACGATGATGGCATATGTTTGAGCCCTGAAAACTCGAGCACCTCCAATCCAAGTGGACTTAAAGTCGGTTTCTTTGCCTATTAAGAAGAAACAAGTTCTCCACGTGTTCAAAGCTCCAAGGTTCAAACATCTTTTGAGCATATTTGGTGATCAACGTTGCTGAGACATGACCCTAAACTTGAGGGGTTTTAATACAGCCACAGAAGAGTCCGGAGATTTCTCAGAGTTCTGGCAGGCTGAACTGACTTCCATAGCCGGAAGCCTTCCACAAGCCAGAAGAACCGCCGGAAACGGTACTCGTTGAAGAGAAGGGTTAGCAGAGACAGATAACGAGAGTTCCTGTTTGGCCATGCAGGTGCTTGTTTTCTTCGTCTCCCCCGCTGCAGACTAACATGGACCCTTTTTCATGGCCAGGAAGGCCAAGTTCCTCTATATATACAGTCCTGTGCAACGGGAGTCTTGGTCATCAGAAGTCGTTTCAAGCCATGGCTGTGGGTGAGAAAAGCACCAAGCAGAATGGATACGCTGCATGGAAATCCTCTGAAATTCTGATAGGTTTGGGATGTCTAGGATTTCACCCATGTGACGCTGTGTCACAGTTTTCTTAGACGGGGTGGATATTGAAGGGGCATTGGGAGTGCCTCACTCATGATCAAAAAGCATCAAGAAACTACTCCTGGTTTGGAATGTTCTTCCTTTAGCTGTTTCGTTCTCTCTTCTGATCCCAAGAAAACAAGCGGAGTGCACCATTTTGGTGCCCTGCTGTGCAAACCAATCGTCGCAACAAAGAGATGCGGAGACAAGGGGTCCGATGCTCCCGAAGAAAGGCTTTTTCTGAACTGACCTCTCCCCTGAAGTCTCACCCCCCACATGCTCAGAACCCAGACACGCCATGAGACTCTCCTTTTTGCCAATCCATTGATCCCCTTATCCAACCATCCCACTTGACCCCTCAGATTTTTCGCTCTTCGTCCCACCTATCGCTCGCCCTTCTACGTGGGTCTCTCCCCATGGTTGCGGCACCGGTTGGTTGCGGCACCGAACGGTCCCGGTCCCCGCCGAGCGAACGGACACCGGTCCGAAGGGCGCTCCGAAGACGGCGACGGCTTTGGCGCAGGCCGTGCTTCCCTTGGTCGACGTGCTGGGTGAGTCCTGGGCAGCCGTCCGTGCCATTGCCCTGAGGCCGTTCGGGTGAGGAGGGGAGAGGTTGATTGGGGAAGGGGGAAAGCAGCAAGCAATGGAAAAGGTTTGGAAAAAGGATAAAGAGTACCACAATGTACCACATGACCATCGAGAGCTCCTGTCTCTACCAGCATTGCTGGTCGTACATTGATGTGGAGTCTCACAGGTCATTTCACTACTGAGCTCACACCAAAACCCAGGCGTGCGAGAACTCCCTCGATGAATCTCAGATCCATAGCCATAAGTGCAGAAGTAAGATGATCCAGCCTCCAAGATGCACACAAACCGCTGCCTTGTTTTGATTTGCGTGGGCCAAAACTCAAGGAAAGTAAGAAAAAGCGAGTCTCCTCGAGCCTGCAAGGTGCAGGATGTTGCAGGAAGTTGATTGAGGAACCAATGCGAACAGTTAGATGATGCCGATGCAAAAAGGTCAGAGAAGATGATACATAAGGACCCTCCCATAAGGACCCTCCCATAGCACACCTTGAACATCCTTGAACCCTTTGTGACAGAGGTGTTGGACCCTCAAAGCATCTCAAATCACTTGTTTTTGGATGCCTCAGGGTAGAATGCTAAGAGGCGTAGCGTAGAGCAGCGTAGCGTAGTCAGCGTAGTAGCCTGATGAGCCACGTACACACACACACCACGAAAAACTAAACTCAATTCGCGAAAGCTTCGAGAAAGCTGTAGCAAAAGATGGAACAAAAGCATGGTTGCAAAAGGGATGCGAAAGGTCACTTTGAATACAGCGGCTTGCCAATGTTCGTAGTGTTCATAGATGTGATGATTGTGGGGGACGACCTCTTCTATGGTCTATGTTGGAAAATCATACAATCTATATACATGTTCATAGACTATAGATCTTGGATCAAGTGCTTTACTTGGTAACTGTCAATTCTTGTAATTAACTGATTTTGCAGCATTGATCAAATGGACAGATGCTATAGTGGCGACTCAGATAGTTCATGATAGTTCTATATTTCATGGTGCTACCTCACATGCAAAGGGATTCGGTCATTTTGACAAGATTCTAATCATGACACTGCAGTTTGCAGCAACGCCGCTTTTCCCGGGCAAAACTGCGACAACTCCTGTTGTTTGGTATTGCTGCAAGCTGCTACACTTTCCAAGAGATCCGACCTCATAAATGCTACATGCTCACTGACAAAAGCTTAGGTGAGCATAGGTAGTCTCCCAGAACACAAGCGGGTAGTGTCCTGCTGTTGGTTCCAGGTTATTATGCCAGCATTGCCAACACCAGAGGGTTCTTTCCTCAAGCACACAACGTTGCGGCAGCGGGCTTCTCACTGCACATCAGGCCAATGGACCGCACAAATGCACAAGCCTGGGCGGCCATTTCAAAGACTCGGCTTCATGCGACCCGAAGTGAGCTGATTTATAAGTCTAAGGATCAATTTGTGCAGGAGTCGACACTTGTTGACCTGAAAGGCATGCACAATCATAGGTTCTTGAGGCCGCCATGATGGCTTGAAATTGATAGCTTACATGCATAGTCGTTTGCATGAGTCTATATTTTATTCGGAAGATGCGGCATGAGGAACACGACTTGCTGCAAGACACGGGATCCCAGCTGTTTTTGGCTGGCTATTTCAGGTTGCTGTGATTTCAGAGGGAATCCTTGGAAGAGTGAAGAACGAGGAGCAGATTCAGCGTGCCTGGGATGTAACTTTTATGAGTTTATAATGTTTGGTGCTCAGAAACTAAAAGAAACTGGTTCTTCCTCTAAGTCTTATGAGAATATATTGACCCACTTTAGATCCGGTATCTCAAAAGAGAGGGGGAAAGAAATGGGAGCCAGGCGGTGCGGCGGTGCTCATGTAGTTGACACTCCAAGGCGCCGCTGCCAAGTGGCAAGTCCAAGCGCATGGCAGGAGGGCGGCACGACCACGCGCGGACCAGGAGACAGGTGGGAGATGGACTCAGCGTGGTGTTTGTCGGAGATGGCACCTTTCAATGTGTTTCTCCAGTTCCCACCACGACACGAAGTAAATATAAACTGAGTGAAAAACCGCTCACATGGTCGGACGCGCTCCCAGCACGGTGAGGCCTTCTGGACTTTTTTGGATGAAGCTGTGTCTTCAAAGCCTTGGTCTGTCAATGCGTGGAGCCTTGACAGCATGTATGTTTGCTAGACCGTTTAGGTTTAGGTCACTAAAAACGGCAGAGGAGTTGAGTGTTTGGGACAGAGGGGAGCAGAGGGCATCGAGACAGTGTTGGGTTCAATCCTCACCCAGAAAAGAACTCTCTTGCGCGCTAGGCGTTTCCATGCGTTTCCAACAGGTGGGTGACGACTACCAGTTCTTAGATCCAGACAGATAGGTCAGATAGGTCTTGTATCTGGACATATTGGCTTCTCAAATGAATTTTGGGTTGCAGAGATTGGTCAGGTCATTCTACAAGGGCCAGAGAAGGTGGACATGCGCTGCATGTTTTCCCGTGTTGTTTTGGGGCATGCGAGGAATGAAAGCTGTGGGACTTGGAATATGTGGCAATGAAAGTACATGCATGCAATCCTTGAAAATTGTATAATTACACCAAATCAGCCGATTCAACAGGAACCATATATATATATATATTGGTTAACAAAAAGGTCTTAAAAGACAATTTTACCATTAGGACCTTTGCATGCTGGCGAAATGCTGGTGTAGAAGGTGCTAAGAATGCGTGACGATGTTTTGTATGTTCAGCTGCCACGTTCAGCCTTGGATCCTCTTGGGCATCAAAGTTTTACGCGACATGCGAACATGTGAAACTTGTGCTGAAGCGGACGCGACGAGCATGCAGGGAGATTGGGAAAGTCATGAAAGCGGAGTTGTATCATAGGTTGGAAATTTGAAAAAGCATGTGACAACATTTTTATATAGACACATGATAAATGATGCGTTGTTTGTCTCCGTATCGCATAGACACTATTCAGATTTCCCAATACCGAAGAACCGCCTGCTGTCTATATAATCCATAATGGTCAATCCCCTTCTGCTGAAGAGGTGTGTTAATATTTCCCGCTTCCTGGATTTGCTGTTCCAGCCAATGAAAACTGCTGTGTGGTGCTAGGATTGGGAGCTCTATGAAGACTGAAGACGCCATGCGAGCCTTGACGCCATGCGACCATGTGCGAGCCTTGGTGTTTAAATTTGGGTGAATCGGACCCTGTTGAGTTGGAGACGGACGGTTTTGGAGAGGTCCAAACAGAACACTGTGCTGTCGGGTGCATGCGTACCGACCGTGAAACAGAACTGCTGGTGCTAGTGGATGCTGGTGAACAGCTGGTGGATACTGGTGGTGAAGTTGCATCTCCCTGCCTGCAATGATTTTCCTGTCGCCTCCAAGGAGGACGCTGGTGCACGGAAGACGTGGCGACGGTTTGAACTGCAAGGCCGACTTCAAAGGAGCAGCTGTGTTCTTCCAAGTGTCACCACGAGATCGGTGTGGCGTTTTGAGCATCGGAATCCGAAACTGGACCAAATCCCCATAGAAACACGGGTCCGGTCCTTGTGAACGGCGCACGGGTCCGGCCATCTGCCGAAGCTTGGGGGTCATCCTTCCACTGCAATCATCGCGGGAAACCACCAGAAAGAAAGGGCTAAAACTGATCAGGTAGACGAATGGGGGAGGGTTATGAATCAAGAGATCTACATTGAACTCGATGTTTGGATCGTGGCGACGGGTGTGTGGACCGAGTGCCATCACCCCGAAGGACGTTCGACGAAGCTCACTCAGGCACTCTCGACACCCGGACGAGGTCCCGGGACGTCCAGGACGTGCAGGACGTGCGCGAAAGGAAAATGGACTCCGGATGTTTAGACCGCTTGCGACGCCATTCTGAGCCATGTGTTCTACGGGGTCCAGCCTAAGTTGAGAGTACCAGGACTTCATGTGGGCTAGATTCATAGAAAGATTTAGAAGGCCTATGGCGGCCTATGTCAGTTGCCTGGTTTTGCTTATGGTGATTTCGTATGTTCTCTATAGGGCCCTAGGGGCAAATCCCCTTTGGGGGAATGTTTTTTCACCGGCTTCCTGGACACCAAATCAAAGGTTGTGCTACATCAGTGAAGTCGCTGGCGATTGGCGATGATTTGATTTTGACATCCAAAATATCCAAAGTGTTCTGCGGAACCAGGGGGATCCTTTTTGACTAAGTCGGAGAGCTCAACGTTTGAAGCCCGTGGAGCGGATTCGATGTCAGAGATAAAGACAAATTCGGATCATGTAGGACCAACAACTTGGGATCGATATGCAGAAACTGCAGAGCAGATCAAGCTTCAAGTTCCTCCAAGCTGTGCACAAACCCTAAACCCCAGCCGTTGAATCAGTCATTGACACAAAGCAGATCAGGCAAAGACAGCACAGGTTTTTGTGGTTATCGGTGGTCATCAACATGATTTTTGTTATTGTTTGTTCCTTTTTTGACTAGTCTCCACAAATATCAGTGGCTTCAGGATGATAGTGGTCCAAAGGGTGATCTTGACAGGTTCCACATGCATGACTGTCCGATTGAAATTGAGTGGTAGGCCATAGCGATCAATATTGTAGTCATGATGCAAGTGGCGTGAGTAGTTGCTCTGTGGCTTGCCACTTGCGGCTCGTCCGTCATCACTGTTCCAAGATGAAAAGAAAAAGCGACGTACTCGCTGCTGTGCAGAAGAATGGATTACAGCTAGCAGATGCTCCAGATGACCTCAAGGCTGACAAGGCAGTAGTGATGCTGGCTGTCAGCAAAAGCGGGGAAGCACTGCAATATGCAGCGAAGAAGCTGACAGGTGACAAGGATGTCGTGTTGGCAGCCGTGCGTCAACGGGGTACAGCCCTTCAATTCGCAGCAAAGAAGCTGCGAGCTGATAGGGAAGTGGTCACTGCGGCAGTGTCGAACTCCTCCATGGCATGCTTCAGCGAAGAACCACTTGCTTTTGCATCTCGAGAGCTCCAGCGCGACAAGGAACTTGTTCTTACCGCGGCGTGCAAGTGTCGGGCGACGCCCTTAAACATGCATCAGCTCATCTCAAGGCTGATAGAGACGTGGTTGAAGCAGCTGTGGCGAAGAGTGGCTGTGCGCTGAGGCACGCATCCTTTTGCATGAAGGCGGATAAGGAGGTGGTCATGACTGCTGTGGCAAACTATGGCGGTGCCATTGATTATGCCTCAGCCGCATTGCAGCGCGACAAAGACGTGATCCTGGCAGCTGTAAAGCAATCAAGTCTCGCCCTTTGCAAGGAGTCTATAGCCCAAAGCGCGGACAAGGAGGTCATCTTGGCATGCATCAACTTTCATGGCGAAGGGCTCCACTATGCTTCTCAGGAATTGCAAGCGGATAAGGAGGTGGTTCTTGCTGCTGTGAAGAAAGATGGCTGGGAGCTCCGGTTCGCAGCGCCAGAGCTGAGAGCTGACAAGGAAGTAGTGCTGGCTGCTGTGAGACAAAGGGGCTTGGCGCTTGCTCATTGTGCCAAGGAACTGCAGCATGACAAAGAGGTGGTGCTAGCGGCCATGTCGCAGAACGGCTGGGAGTTGCGCTATGTGCCTGCGGCCATGAAGGACAAGGAGGTCGTGCTGACTGCAATGGCACCGAATGGTGACGCCCTTCACATGGCGCCTGAAGAGCTGAGGAAGAACCGCGACGTGGTGTTGACAGCTGTCAGGCAGCATGGCCACGCGCTGGGCAAAGCCTCAGTGGAACTACGGTCTGATCGTGATTTGGTACTTGCAGCAGTCATGCAGGATGGCAGAGCTTTGGAATATGCAGCTGCTGAGCTGCAAGAAGACGAGGCAATAGTGTTTGCAGCTGGGAGGCAGAATGGCCTCGCCTTCAATCATGCCGCCACTAAGTTCTTTGGTGCACCTTTGTGGCAAGAAGCCCAGCCGTTTTTGCAAAACCTGTGGGTCTTCAGGGTGTCAAGACTGAGCGGAGCATTTTGCTATGTGGTGGCCAAAAGCGACTACACGTCGGAAAGGATCCTTCGTGATGTGGCCCGGAAGTTGGGGATCGTCTGGTGGACGGGTTGTCACGATTCCGACGATAAATTCGAGCTCTTGAGGGACTCGACACGGCTCAGGCTGTACAAAGCTCACGTGAGTTGGTGGAATCTACCAGAAAGTGAGAAGGGTACCATAATCGACCTCAAACTTCTTGTGAAAGTTTGACGAGATGTGAACAATGAATTTGTGTTCTGTTGCAGCTACATTGAGTCGGCAAACGCTGAGAACGCTGGCCATGAAAAACGCAGGGGGTGCTCCGACCGCCGCTAACCCATATATGGCAAATGGATGCAAATGGCCAAGCTGGCCAAGTTGATGCAATGTTGCTGTCACATTTGGCATCGTGAGGCTGTATGACACATATATCATACAACTATATATATATATGTATATATACGTATAAGACTGCAGGGATTCTGAGAGACCAAATGCAGATGATGCAGCATGTGAACAGGTTCAGACATGGAAAGATTTGATTGCTAGCGTTCCATTATTGCATCCATGCTCATCCGACATCCACCCTGAGTTCAGCAGAAAACCATGGAATGAAGACAGGCTGAATGCTTTCTCAGAGCACCCATACCACCTTCAGATCTAAATCAACCAATGTCAACCATTGATGATGACCCTACAAATCCAATTTGCCAGACTGGGTCATGTATTGTTCATGTTTTGCAGGTGCAACATCGACCCAGTGACGTCTGTACATGGCATCTCCGCTACTAGTGTCTCTTCATAAGGTTGTTCTCATATATTCAAGATCGAATCAGGTATACCGCGAATGTCTCACGTAATCAATCGAGACGGTGGCCGGCCGGTGGCTGTTCCTGTGGCCGGTGGGCGGAGTCCGGTGACCGGTGGCTCCGGCGGCCGGTGGGCCGGTGGCTGGTGGCGCGATGGCCGGGCCGGTGGCTCAGCTTCTTCAACTGATGGATCTCTGGCGCGGTCTTTTCCCTCCTTGCTTCTCGACCTTGACGTCCGCACAGGCTTCAACCAATTAACCGGAGATATACTGCCCAATGTTGGTTGGCGCCGTCACTAGCAGCAACAACAATGCCTTTGCAAAGAGGTTGCGTGCCACAGTTCTTACGCAATGCATGCACTTCTTCGGTGTTTACACAGTACGTACAACTTTGGGGCAAAGCAGTTCTTATCCACCACAGCTCTTACACACACCCGCGTTTACACGCCACCGCATTCACGCAAACTGGCGTTCACACACTAGCTATGGTTTTACGCAAACCAGCCTTGACACGACACCAGATAACACTAGATGCCGTAGCAACCTCTCCTCGTGACTCCTCCCACTCTGATGTGGCACACACCTTTAAATTTGTATGGCACAAATTTGGCACCGGGCAGTTGTTACAAACCACAATTGCTGTTACACTGCCCTGCGGCCTTGCGTTTAGACTGCAGGGTTACATATTTCTGCGCACAGCAGTGAATTTACACTCTGCAGTTTCTACGCGAAGCAGTGTGTACGCTGCACACGGGCCCTTTTTGCACACGCCACCCCACCAGATCTTCTACACGAAGCAGCGTTTACATTGCAACATGTTCAGGGAACCCCCTCCACAATCACCGGGATCGACGCATTTGCATCGCACCAAACCATGCCATTATGTCCTTCCAACCTCTCCTCTTTCTAGAAAACTGTTCTCGCCGATCACCTGGTACATATCTACCTTTCGTGTTTTCCCTTCCCTAGTTGAGGCAACATTTTGCGCTTCGTTTGCAAAGGTGCCCTTGGTTTTGCTGTTTCAGTAGGTATGTGCCAACTTCACACTTGGAGCGTTTTGCCGACTGAAGACGTTTATATTTTTCAGATTATTTCAGTGGTTGAACTAGTGCTGATGGTTCAAGCTTGAAATCATATATCAAATCACAAGTGATCATGAGGGGATGGGTCCAAGTTGTGTTTTTGAGTCCATCATTCACTCAAGCTGGCTCTTAAAGACCATAGGATACCATGGATATTTTTAAACTATGCCCTGTATATCCAACCTTGTCACTCAGGTATGTTCAATGTACATGTTGGAACATAAGGTTTTTAGTTCCGGCAGTATTGATAGCACGTTCATCATGACAAGCGTCGCTGCGTTGATCACGCCCGGCATGGAACTGCGGCCGTTTGACCTTGATATGCTGCTGATTCCGCTGGTCTCTCGGCGCCTGAGTTTGCGACGACAGGAGCCGGAGTGTGAATTCCCACGATCGTGTCACATGTAGCCCTGCTGGAGTGTGAAGCAGGAGTATCAGGAGTCTTGAGGTCTTGGGAGACTTTCAATTTCCACCTTTGCCGATGGTGATGGTGACGACGGAAGAGAGCAGACAGGAGCCGCAATGGTGCTGCCCATAATGGGTGCACATGTCCTTATCATGGAAGGTCCAGCTGCACAAGACTTTTCCACTGGCAACCTGCTGAGTGGCAACTTAGGGTCTTCGAAGAATCTTTTAAAGCAAGTGTAGTATTTGAGTCAATCATAGATTTGCCCAAAACAGCGGCATTCGGACTTCCAAACTCAGGCGTTTTGTCTCAGAGCCAAAGCCGCCGCGGGCTGGAACTAGGGCCTTCGCGAGTTTGTATCGGAGTTTGGGTAGAAGCAACCAGCTGGGAAACATACAGTGCACGCGCTAAGCTGGTGACATCACCTATGAGTCAATGCGTGCAAGAGAAGGCTCGTGACTTTCTTTTTGCAGTGGGATTCCTTAGAAGCCCATGGAAGCCTACGGAGACTCTACAACATCTTCGACAGCTCTGGATGTTTTAAAGTCTGTATAGACTCTGGAGCCACTCCTTCAGGCTTTTGCAGACCGCCCTTGCTCCAATCCCGCTCCTCGTGTCGCACTGGCCGCGATGTAAGCACCTTCCCACTGGGCCATGCGGTGAACATGTGTCGTTCGACGCGGGGAGAAGTGTTGGGACCGAGCCTTATGGCCTTTAGGGCCCCAAGTGTCAGACGAAGGAGGGAGAAGAAGCTGAGGAAAGAGTCTCTTCTGATGGTTTCTCATGGTTTTTCTAAAGCCGTGAATTCGCGCAGCACGTTTCAGCGTCACGGTTGACTCGCTTCTACTGAGGTGGGGTTTGGGGTTTGGAATTGTGGTCTGTCAACCTTTCATGATGAAACAACCATCGCCAACCGCCAACCTACAGATCTACAGATCAAGTCACTGTCCAGGTCGCACATGTGTCGAGCATCGATGGGTAACGCAATAGACTGCAACTTATCCTTGGTCGGCTCGCTCATTTTAGAGAGAGGCTGACGTCCTTAAGTGGTTGGGCCCTGCTCGCTCGGCACTCTGACGGTCGGTCTAGACCGCCACGCATGTGTGGGGTTGGCAACGGCGGTGACGTCGCTTCGGCCAGTTGAGACTGTCCACGAAGGTGGGAGAAATGTATTGATCGATGCAAGACTAGGTATGGCGGAGCGGACTGAGGGTTTGGGAACCAGTTGTGGAAACATGAGGCGAGCTTCTCTGCGGCGAGATACGGCTTGGCGACAGGGCAGGACATTCCCAACCTTCGGTATGCCTTCAACAAAAGGGGCAACATACGGCAACCTCATAGGATTTGCTACAGGTCTTTGGACACTTCCAGCACTTCCCATTCCGCTAAGGTTTCTGGGCTTGAGCCATAGTGAGCGATTAAGACTTGGGGCGATTCACTTGGTACTGTCCAAAGTTCAGTGCCTATCGAAATCAATAGCTGCTAGGTTCTTCAATTGTGAAAGAAATATACGTTCCCATTACGTAGACGATGTTCCGCACATGACTGTTCAGGACCTGCTGGGTAGAGCTGTTCATCTCCAGCTGTTCGGATATACTTTTTGACCAACGGAGCGGTTCGCGACCAAAATTGAGACAACGCATACGACCGGAAAGCACCACCGCCCACCGCGGGTGTCAGCCTATACATAAATCCATCCGAATCCGCAGTGTAGTGACGTGGATTTGGGACCAACCTGGGAAGGACCAAGCAAAGCTTTGATGGAAGTTCTGGATGTTCATTAAAGACCAGAAAAGATGTGGTCTAAAGAAAACAAGAGAGTGCACAGATGCTATCGATAAAGGTTGACTGGTCCCACTGGTCGTTTCCTTAGCACTAACCGCAGCAACAAGTGCTGCAGCTCTTGGTCGCATGATGCTCAACTGACAAAGACTCAGTGAAGCCCTCAAACTTCCAGTTCAAACCAGTGTGCCCAATCCCCAGACTGGTTCCTTACTGCGGCCAGACTGGACTCCAAAAACGGGGTTGATCGAAAGATCACAGTGATCCCTTGAGTGTCTTGGCCTGTAGTAGTCCTGGCTGGACTACCCAGCCCATGCAATACCACGCTCCGTGCTGCTTCGACAGGAAGTTCGGCTTGACGGCCAAAAAACCCTTGGGCGCCTTATCGTGGGGTGCCGCGTCTTGACGGTCTTGCGTTGTTCTGCGCGACGTGAGCGGGTTTCTTCGCTGAAGCGCAGGGGTGGTGGGCGGATGTGGGCTGTGGGTGCGGCATGCTGAAGCAAACGGGAGGGATGGGAGTGAGACCCACGCCGTTCTTCTTGCGTCCACTGACTGGCGCGACTCGGAAGGAACGAGGGAATGGACCCATAAGGAATCTCTATTTGGAGGTCATTCCCTGATTCCCAATACCAATTACTTGTCAGTGCACTTCGTGTTGAAGGCAAGCCAAGGCTATCCAAGACTAGAGGAAGGGAGGTCGGAAGGTGGAAGGGAGCATCTAGGATGTGAAGGGGCTGGAAGGATTGGTTTGTCATGCTAGCTGCTAGATGCCTTGCAGGTCTTCCGCAGATAGTGATCAAAGCACTTCACAGGGATACAATTTGTAACTTGGTGTCCGTTTCGCTGGCTCGGGCCGTTGCCTGAGCACAGGTTCGTTGCGCGGAATGGCGGCAAAGATCTTGAATACCTTTGCTTAAGCTGCTCCAGCTCGAATACTTTCGCACTGATGGTTTCTCGGGAATTTGCAGAACCAATGCAGGCAACATCAGTTGTAACCTCAGTTAGCTACCCCTCTCAACTGGCCCAACCAATTCTGGGTCCAACCCCCTCGGATCGACTTCACGGACCTCTCAAGCGTTCTCTGCGATCGGCCAGCGACATGGTTTCTAGGCCCAAGTCTCGGTCTTCGTCTCTCGAGCCGCGAGGCTCGTTGGTTCTCGCGGTGCCTTTGGTTCTCGGACCCGTTTGGTTGAGCATTGGTGTTTGGACCAGTCCGAGAGTGCTCGAAGCCTTTTCGAAGATGGGAAGACTTGTGAGCAGATCAGTACCCTAAAATACAACTTCCAAACTTCCAGAGAGAAGTGAAGTATCATGACGCATCGTTAAAAAAGCCATTGACAAC